GGCTATTTTTTGGTTGCAGCCGTCATTGTTGTTTGGCGGGTCCGGGCTGGGGATTCGAACCCGCCACCTTAGGTGTACGTGGCTGGCGCCTTAGCCGGGATGCAAATTTTCTTAACAGCCCTCTACTTCTTCTTACTAAATGCTGCCCCCAATTTTTTTTCAAGGATGATTTTGGATAATTATCTTTGTGGTATGTGTAGATCCTATACAGTTATCCATTCATTCATGGTCCCACCATAAGATAGTCGTGGGAAGATCTTTCACAGGAGTAACATAGTCAAAATAATAGATGAACAAGATAGTGAGAGAAGTGAAGATAGGTAAGTATAAGGTTGAAAGACAAATGTTAACCAGAATCAAAGAAAAGAAAGAAAGGTGTGGACTTTGTAGGATGACAGGAAGAAAATAATTTGGCAATAAAAGATCAAAAAGAAGAGAAAGAACCAAAGATAATACAAACTGTCACATGTATCAGTATTGGTAAATCCTAAAGTAGCTGCAAAATTATATTTAAAAAGAGATTAAGAGTGCATGTGTATGTATTAAAATACAGACAAGAGTGGTCTTTATGTGTTACATTTTAAAGGTATAAGACTGTGGCAAAACAATTAGAATATTTATCGAGCTTCTTTATTGACCATGAGCTGTATTACTAGACAGAAGTATCTCAGGTAAAATTAAAAATAAAAGACAGTAAGTTTGCTTAGGGAAGGTATTTAATTTTGTTGATTGTTATTTAGTTTTGAATTTCATAGGAGACTCAAAATATTTAGCTAAATTGAAATAGTCCATATCCAATGAAATTTCAATACAATAGAGTTGCAAGAATTATGGATAAGAAACTGTGGCAATAGCTGAAGGTACAGGACAAGAGGACGAACTGTAAAACCTCAAAGCTTTATTTGCAAATTAATAAGCTAGTGATTTACACATAATGTACAGTACAGGGAAAGATGAAAATAATATTCTCAAGGGAAATGTTTCTATTCTGGTTATGTTTGGAATTCCTCAGGAAAGTTTCTATTCTGATCATACTTATAAATCTTGAATATTTTTTCTAAAATTATATTTTGCAGGGAAGACTGAATGAGATAATAGACAGGAGTTTATTGTTTGTATTTACTAATAATTCAGGCATTACCATGGCTGGTGCTAGGGATGTAGAGTTGGTAAGACACAGTCTCTGACTTCATGGAAGTCCTGATCCAGAGGGAATTCATATAGCTTTAAGTAATTGTAATACAGTATAGTAGATGCCATGATAGATACAAACTCAGAAGAAGTGAAAAGGGCATCTTGCCCTATGTATGAGAGTAAGGAGAGATGATGTTTGAGCCAAGAGCCTTCAGGACTGGCAATTAAGAAGTGCTTCGCTGGCTTTTTTTTTTTTTTTTTTTGAGACAGAGTCTCACTATGTCGCCCTCAGTAGGTGCCATGGCGTCACAGCTCACAGCAACCTCCAACTTTTGGGCTTAAGCAATTCTCTAGCCTCAGCCTCCCAAGTAGCTGGGACTATAGGCATCTGCCACAACGCTTGGCTATTTTTGTTGTTGTTG